AAAAGCAGTGGCCAAAGGGTCAGGATCAGCGTGTGTGCATGGGTTCCCAGAGTCCCCATTCCCCGGGGGTGACACGACAGGGCCCAGACAGATGCTGCACGTCCGCCCTTCCTACTGGAGGGCACCATGACCTCATTCCTCAAGGCTGCTCACAAAACAGCCCAGGTAACAGGATGCCCAGCTGAGTGTGGAGGAGCATGGGAGACCCATGCAGGAGTGTCTCGCGACAAAGTCCAGTTAAGGAAGCTTTGAGATCCAGCCTCAGGTCTCAGGGTCAGGGAGGCAGTGCTGAGGGCCAGGCAGTGGCTGTCCCCAATTCACATCCAGGCCACTGATTCCTTGGTGGCTGCTGGATGCTGTTCCCTCATCAGTGGGTCACGATCCAGTCTGCCTCTTGGGCCTGGTGACCTGTGAGTGGGCAGCATCTCCGTGTGGGCCAGTCCTAGGAGGCGGAAGGCCCAGCATGGGCTGAGGGAATGGATGGCTCCTCACAGGGAGGGATGGCTGGCGTTTCCCTCCTTGCATCTTCCAGACTCTCACTGTGCCCCATAAAAGGGGAAAGCCGGTGCTGGACCCTGCCCCACGACGCACCCCGCTTCCTCACTAACCATCTGGCCAGGCCCCAGCGGCCCTGGCTTTGACAGTGACATCAGCAGCACTGGCTGGTGGCCCCTAAAACCTCTGGTGTCCCCACTCCTCCTCCAAGTTCTATCAGATGTGAATTTATCCAAGCCCTTTCTCCCACAGATGACATCTTCCTGTTAATATCTCAGAGGAAGATGTCTGACTGGCCTCTCCTGGCCTTTCACCAGACACCATCCAACTCACGGACAGGGGTTCAGGCGCTAACACCCTGTGCTGTGCACGCAGCTCCCACAGGCACCTGGCACCCACCTGTGAGTCATCCCGAATTTGAAGAGCAGTTGCTTAAATCACTTCAGAATGATCCACGTGTGCTAACTGTACAATGTGGTGGTTGGAGGTGATGCTATTTTGCGTTTCCATTTGCCTTCCTGATCACACATCAGGCTCCTCTGGCCTTTTGATCAGCCCTTCCCACCCTCTTGGTCCTGACTCTGAGTCGAGCCAGGGCCGCTGCACACCTGGCCTGCAATGTGCTGTGCACCCCCGTGCTGGGGGCCACCTGTGGGATCCCGAAGTGCAGGGGAGGTAAGGCTTCTGTCCCTCACACTCAGGTGGACAACTCTCCAGGGCTCTGGGAAGGTCCAAGGGTTCAGCTCCAATTGCCCATGATAGAGGCCCCCACAAGGCATCATGCTGGTCCCGGACTCGCTCCTCCCCTGCCTCACTCCCCTGCCCCAGCTTCCTGGGAACAAAAACCCTCACTGCAAAGACCCCGACTCAGTCTCTGCTTTCTGGGCTAAGGGGTTGGGCACCCAGGCCAGGACACACATTCTATGTGATACTTGAATGGTCCCATCAAATCCACACCAAACATTTGCCCAGCTGTTAACTGAATGCTTCCTGTGATGGAAACCTCATTATTTCTCAAGGCTGGTAAGAAGTCCAGCTCCAGCTTCTTCTCAACACAGTGAGTCTCAACTAGCCTTTACAAAAATGAGAATGTAGAAAACAGGACACTGGTGCACATCACACAGTCACACAGATGGTTGCTCCCCCGTGAATGGATTTACTATCAGGGCACTATGGCCACCAAGGCAGCCCATCTCCGACAGTCCAAGTGCACTGTCGTCCATGGTGCTGGGTGGCTCCTTACCTCCCAGCAGCATCACTGCCCAGTGGAAGTCCAGCTGCATCTTTTGGGGTTCATCCCATCAGGAAACTTGGACAGGACACTTGCTTGGAGGTCTTGCAGTGTGGGCTGTAGGGGAACGTCCAGCTGCTGGCATTCAAGCTTGACCTCACCCTTCACGGGTGCACCCAGGGCAGACTCATTCTGACTTTGGGCCCAGTGTGGCCGAGTCCAGACCTATGCCCATCTTTGCTTCCTATACCCACATTGTAAGAGGGCTGTTGGCATTTTAAATTTTGTAGGCCCTGGCAGTTGGCACTGAGTTTTCTGAATACAACCAGGATTCTCCAACAGTCTGCAGAAACAACATTTAAAAATAAAGAAAAATGTCAGTCACTGGGTGAGCCAAGAGCTGTGGGAGACCTGCATCACTTCCTCTCCAGGGGCCCATGACTTTGTCACCTCCTCATCCTACCCCACATCCTCCCTATGTCCGTGTCCCTCTGGAGTGGTGGTGTCAGGCCCCATAGTCTGGTCCCTCTGTTGAGAATGTTCCTACCATGAAGAGAAGAATCTCAGCAAACCCTGCACTTCTGAAGTGCCTCTTGGCACTCTGAATGTTTGCAAAAAGCAGACTCCAGCCAAATTTTTATTAGGGGGAAGGCAGTGAAAAGCAAACTTCTGGCAACAGGAGATGTACAGGAAGCAAGACAGGAGTAGCCAAGCCCAATTCCGATAGCATGTGCTGTGGAGGTGCCAGACGCCGTGGGGACCCCTTATCTCTTCCTCCCACTGATTACTGAGGCAGTCCAGCTCCAAAGCCCACAGCACATTCTGGAAGCTATCAAGCGACTTTTTACCTAGTCCCTTAAAATGAAACTATTCCTAATACATCAACCCCTGGAGCACATCAAGTCCTTGGAAACAAATTCTCAGATTGTTTTTGTGCCTTATCCTTTGTAGATAGGATGCATTTTTACTCATCTGACCTAAGCGTTTCAATCTGTGCAAAAGGCTTTGAAAATATTGATGCAGTTTAAGGAAAAATGACATTTGAAGTGATGCTTACAAGACATGAAACAGAAGTTCGGCTTTATCATAATTGCTGCTTTGTAGAATGATTTGCATTTAACATTAGTTTGGGGCGGTAAAGGCTATGACGTGCTCACTGACCCAGATGGGTCGGGGCACCGACGTGACAGGTGGTCCCCTCGGCCCCCGGGCGGCGCGGGCCCCGGGGCCCGGTGCTCCACAGGGGGCCGCTCAGGCGTCCCGTCGCCAGTGCAGGGGACCGTCACCTGCTCTTCACACAGAAACTTTCCTGGTCAGAGAAGGGACACACGTGGGAAGGCGTAGCCACCGGGACAGCGCAGCATCTTCCCACAAACCCCACCTTCTGCACAACCCAAGAATTCCTGTAACACTTGCTTCACTGCGGATCTCTGAGCAGATCAGATGAGCTCCCTCGGGGCGGGGGTGGGGGGAGGGCGTGTGCGTGTGCTTGTGGCTGTGGCGGGGTGAAGGGTGGGGGAGCGGCTGTGCCTGTGGCTGTGGCTAGACTGTTCTTCCGCCGCTCTAGGCCGCGCCTCTCCACTGCCTGCAGGTCCCCGCTGGATCGACGTCCCTCTGCGCCAATCGGAGGCGCCCGGCGTCGGCCCCGCCTCCCGGCGAGCCGCCCGCGCACGCGCCGTAGGCCGAAGTGGGCGGGGCGGCCCGAGGAGCGCGCGCCATGCAGGCCAGCGGGTACACGGCTGCCGCCCTCGGCCAGGCCCGCGCCCCCGTCCAAGTGGTAGGTGCTGGGCTGGCGGGGGTGGGAGGTGGGGATGGGGGTGGCGCCCCGTCCCTCCTCGCCCCTCCCCGCCCCTCAGCTCTAGTACCGCTCCCTGACTCTCTGTCTCCCCGACTCTGCGGTCGCCTCCTGTCCCCTCCTCTCCTCTCCTTTCAACTCCGTCCCTCTCTCCTCCGTCCTCCTCCTCCCCGCTCCGCTCCCCTCTATCCCTCCCTCCCTCCTCTCCCCATCCTGGGTCTCCATTTCCCACACCACCACCGCCGCTTCTCTTGGGCAGCCTATGAGGGTCTCTGCCCAAATCAACGTTAAAGCACCAGCAAGAGTGCCAACAGAGATTAATCAAGGCTCATCTTTGGCAGAAATTAACATTATGTTTTGTATTGTAGATCTTGAAAACAGTAAAAATATTCTTTCCTTTAAAAAATAATTCCAAAGTAAAGTAAATATGTAAGTAAATTAGGGATCTATTTATGTGGATAACATAAATGCAGGAAGGGATACCACTGTTGAATCAGATCCTCAGAGTAAAGAACTTGACAGAAGTGTATTTTCAGTGCTTATATCTGTGAGCTTTTCATAACCATATTCAGATTTAGATTTAAAATATCTATATTCTGTATAGATATATAATTCGTACATATATGCATGTATGTATGTTTGCACGTGTATGCATGTGTAGACACACGCTCACACCTGGATGACCTGTGTTTCTGTCTTCTTACTTGGGAATGTGTCCACTCTTTGTTAGGGTATAAACTCAAGGGTGAGGACCGACTGTAACTTCTATCTTTGGGTATTCTGTATTGCTTAATGTGGTAATATACAGAATTAAGACAAATCCTGTAATCAGTTGTTTTGTTGGCAGTCAAGATTCACTGGTTTTACTCCGTACACTTCATACATTTTTGTTTTATGTGGGCCCTATGAGAAGTGGACAGTGCCAAACTATCCTAAACGGAGTAGAGCAAAGGAAGAGAGAGCTGGAGGGAGGTCACTTCCCCTTTTCCCAGCCCCGCCCCCATACTTTGTTAAAGCAAGTGTAGGGGGTACTTAAAAGGGTTTCTTTGTTGCAGTTTCTCTAACATCATGGTTTACTGAAAATGCTTATTTCATGAGCGGGTTCAAGATACACAGATGCTTGTTTCAACCAAAATGATGATGTTTCTGACCACTGATTGGGAAACACATGAATTTGCCGTTGAATTGGGAACATTTTTGATGCCTTTCAGATTTTTGTTTCCTTTTCAAAAGCATCCAAAAGACCAATTCTGGGAAATCTAAGACAATAAATCTTGAGAGGAGGCATAGACACCTTTTTTTTTTTTTTGTCAGGACATATTCTTTCCCTGGAAGCCTTATTCTGGGTTACTCTGTAAGTCAGGTCTTGCCCTTTGGAAATAAGCATTGTGTGGATGGTAATGGGGAAGTAAATTAGAGCCATGGAAAGAGTATTCAGTTTCCACACTTGTTTCTCAATCGTTTTGTTTTGAATTCCAGTCTGTTATCCTCCCGGTCCATGACGCTGAACCGTGGCTGGACGAGTGCTTGGGGTCTGTTTTGCAGCAGGACTTCGAAGGCTCCATGGAGCTTTCCATTTTTAATGATGCCAGTAAGGTATTTATGAACTTCCTGCTGGTGATTTAGCCCTAGTGTAAGTCCCCTCTGACTGTTTGGAGGAAAGTTTCCTGACCTGCCAACGTCCTCGTGCTTTCAGGACAAGTCTATGACTATCATTGAAAAATGGAAAGAGAAGCTGGAAGGTTCCGGCATCCTTGTGGTCATTGGAGGGCACGATTCTCCTTCTCCTCGAGGAGGTCAGTAACCGTGTTTAGTTTATTATTCTTATCGACTTATGTACTTAAATAATTTCCTGTTGTTCAAATCCTGGTGAAAATTATCCTGAGTAATACTTGAGTATACCACTTACTAAGGACACGGTAAGCCTGGCTTTCTTATGCTTCAGTAAGGATTTGTGTACATCCACTGCTCATTCTTTACTTATTCAGCCCAACAGAAAGCCATTGGGTGTTTTCATTCCTGGTGTGATTGCTCATTATTGGTCACCCCTAATTTTTAAAATTCTTTTCTTGTGACATTAGATTTGTTTTTGTCCATTAAAAAAAATCTTCTTAAAGAAGCAGCTTTTGGTTTCATTGATTTTCTATATTGTTTTTCTTTTTCCTATTTTGTCTGTTTTCTATTTTGACTCTGAATTGTATTATTTTCTTTCTGCTCACTTTGGGTTTAATTGGTTCTTACTGTAATTCTTATTTTTTGAATTTATTTATTTATTTTTGGCTGTGTTGGGTCTTTGTTGCTGCGCACGGGCTTTTTCTAGTTGCAGCGAGTGGGGGCTACTCTTCATTGTGGTACCCGGGCTTCTCATTGCAGTGGCATCTCTTGTTGTGGAGCACGGGCTCTAGGCATGCGGGCTCAGTAGCTGTGGCTCGCAGGCTCTAGAGCGCAGGCTCAGTAGTTGTGGCGCACGGGCTTAGTTGCTCCGTGGCCTGTGGGATCTTCCTGTACTAGGGCTCAAACCCATGTCCCCTGCATTGGCAGACAGATTCTTAACCACTGCGCCACCAGGGAAGCCCCTCTTTTTGTAATTCTTAAGGTGAAAGCTGAAGTCATTGGTTTGAGACCTTTCTCATTTTCTAGCATAGGCATTTAGTGATATAAATTCCCCTCTAACTATTGCATTAGCAACATCCCACGAATTCTGATATGTTATGTTTTAATTTTCATTCAGCTTCAAAATAACTTCTAATTTCCCCGTTGATTTCTTATTTGATTTATGGATTATTTGAAGTATTTAGTATTTAGTTTCCAAATATTTGAGGGATTTCCCAGATATCTTTCTATTATTAATTTCTGATTTAATTCCTCTGAAGTAAGAGAACATACCTTTTTGACTTGAATCTTTTAAATTTAGTAAGATTTACTTTATAGCCCAGGATAAGGCCTATCTTGGCAAATGTTCCGTGTGCACTTGAGAAGGTTGTGCATCTGCTGGTGTTGGTGGAGTTTTCTGTAAACGTAAATTAAGTCCAGTTGGGCACAATCTTGTTTAAATCTACTGCATCCTTGCTGATACAAGGTCTGCTTGTTCTCAGTTACTGAGGCGGGGTATTGAAATCTCCAACTCTAACTGTAGATTTATTATTCTTCCTTATAGGTCTATCATTTTTGGCTTTGTGTATTTTGAAACTCTGTTAATATTTGAGATTGTTGTGAAGAATTGACCCCTTCATCATTATGAATAACCCTCCTGACCTCTGGTAATATACATTGTTTGATATTAATATAACTGCTCTGGCTTTATTTTGACTAGTGTTAGCATAGTGTATCTTTTCCATCATTTTGTCTTTTAACCCATTCCTGTCTTTATATTTAAAGGATGCCCCCTCCCTTATAGATTCTTGTAGACAACATATGATGGTGCTTTTTAAATCCAATCTGACAATCTCTGCCTTTTAACTGGGATGTTTACATTAGATACATGTAATATGATTATTGATGTGGTTAGGTTTGAGTCTCTCTTCTTGCTATTATCTTATATTAGTCGCATCTATTCTTCATTCCATTTTCCTCTTTCTCTGCCTTCTTTTGGATTAATTAAATATCTTTTATAACAGCTTTATTAAAATACAATTTATATACCATACAATCCACCCATCAAAGTATACAATCAAGTGTTTTGTAGTATGATCACAGATGTGTGCAGCCACCACCACAGTCAATTTTAGAACATTTTCATCACCTCAGAAAGGAACCCTGCATCCTTTAGTTATCACCCTCCATCCCCCATCCCCCCCAGCCCTATGCAACCACTGATTTACTTTCTGTCTGTAGATTTGCCTGTTTTAGCCATTTTGTATAAATGGAATCATATAATATGTGTTCTTTTGTGACTGGCTTCTTTCATGTAGCAAGATGTTTTTAAGGTTCATGTTGAGGCATATATTAGTACTTCATTCCTTTTTACGAGAGAATAATATTGGGTTGGCCAAAAAGTTCATTTGGTTTTAAGTAAAAATGAAAGACATTTTTCATTTGCACTGAGAACTTTATTGAACAATGTATTCATTAACCAAACGAACTTTTTGGCCAACCCAATATTTAATTGTATAGATGTACCATATTTTGTTTATCCATTCATCAGCTGAGGGACATTTGGGTTGTTCTACCTTTTGGCTGTTGTGAAGAGTGCTAGTATAAACATTTGTGTACAAATTTTTGTTTCAACATAGGTTTTCAGTTCCTTTGGGTATATACCTCGTAGTTGAATTGCTGGGTCATATTGTAATTCTATGTTCAGCATACTGAGGAACTGCCAAACTATTTTCCACATCAGTTGCACCATTTTACATTGCCACCAACCATGTATGAGGACTCCAGTTTCTCCACATCCTTACCAACACTTCTTATTTTCTGTGTTCTTTTTAATTATAGCCATCCTAGTGAGTGTGAAATGGTTTTTCATTGTGTTTTTTTTTGTTTGTTTGTTTTTTTGTGGTACACGGGCCTCTCACCGTTGTGGCCTCTCCTGTTGCTGAGCACAGGCTCCGGACGCACAGGCTCAACGGCCATGGCTCACGGGCCTAGCCGCTCCGCGGCATGTGGGATCTTCCCGGACCGGGGCACGAACCCGTGTCCCCTGTATCGTCAGGCGGACTCTCAACCACTGCACCACCAGGGAAGCCCTTCATTGTGGTTTTCATTTGCATTTCTCTAGTGACTAATGATATTGAGCCTCTTTTTGTGTGCTTGTTGTCCATTTGTATATATTCTTTGGAGAAATGTCTATCCAAGTCCTTTGACCATTTTAAAATTGGATTGTTTGCCTTTTTGTTGTTGAGCTGTAAGAGTTCTTTATATATTCTGGATACTAGCGCCTTATCAGCTATATGATTTGCAAATATTTTCTCCCATACTTTGGATTGTCTTTTCACTCTCCTGAGAATAATCTTTGATGCACAAAAATTGTAATTTTGATAAAATCCAATTTATTTTTGTTGTCATTTTATGTGCTTTTGGTGTCCTATCTAAGAAATCATTGCTTAATCAAGGTCATGAACATTTACTCCTTTGTTTTCTTCAAAGAGTTTTATAATTTGAGCTCTTTTATGTAGGTCTTTGTTCCATTTTGAGTTCATTTTTGTATATGGTGTGAAGTAAGAATATAACTTCATTCTTTTGCATGTGGATATTGAGTTGTTCCAACACCATTTGTTTAAGACTATTCTTTCTCCATTGAGAGTTTCGGTACCTTTGTGAAAATCAGTTGACCGTAAATGAATGGGTTCATTTCTGGACTCTATTCTTATGCCAGTACTACACTGCTTTGATTACCATAGCTTTGTGGTAGGTTTTGATATCGGGAAGTATGAGTCTTCCAACTTCGTTTTCCTTTTTCAAAATTGTTTTGCAATTTCATATGAATTTTAGGATCAGTTTTTTCATTTCTGCAATAAAGACCATTGGGATTTTGATGGGGATGGCATTGAACCTGTATATCTGGGTTGTGTTGTCACTTTAATAGTATTAAGTCTTCCAATTCATGAACACAGAATATCTTTCCGTAGGTCTTAGGTCTTCTTCAGTTTCTTTTATCAATGTTTTATAACTTTCAATGTACAAGACTTTTGCCTCTTTGGTTAAATTAACTCCTCAGCACTTTATTATTTTTTATGGTAGTGTGAATGGAATTGTTTTCTTAATTTCCTTCTCAGATTGTTCATTGTTATTGTATAGGAAAACTGATTTTCCTGTGTATTGATCTTGTATCCTGCAACTTTGTTGAACTTGTTTATTAGCTCTAGTAGTTTTTTTGTGAGTTTTTAGGATTTCCTATATTTAAGATCATGTCATCTGCAACAGATAGTTTTACTTATCCCTTTTTAACTGGATGCCTTATTTCTTTTTCTTGCCTAATTGCTTCAGCTAGAACTTCCAGTGTTTAGTAGGAGTGGAGAAAGGAGACACCCTTGTCTTGATCCTGATCTTAGGGGGAAAGCGTATGGTGTTTCACCATTGAGTATGATGTTAGCTGTGGATTTTTGTAAATACCCTTTATCATGCTGAGGAAGTTCCCTTCAATTCCTAGTTTGTTGACTGTGTTTTTCTTTATCATGAAAGAGGATTTTGTCCAATCTTTTCTCTGCATCAACTGAGATAATCATGTAGGTTTTTTTCCTTCAGTTCTATTAAGGTGGTATATTGTACTGATTGATTTCATATGTTGAACCACCCTTGCATTACTGGGATACATCCCACTTGGTCATGGTGTATAATCTTTCTAATACGCTGCTGGATTTAGTTTGCCAGTATTTTGTTGAGGATTTCTACATAGATATTCATAAGGGATATTGGTAGGTAGTTTTCCTTTCTTCTGATGTCTCTGTCTGACTGTAGTATCAGAGTAATGCTGGCTTTGTAGAATGAGTTAAGAAGTGTTTCCTTTTCTTCTATTTTTTTTTTGAAGAGTTTGAGAAGGATTGTTGTTAATTATCTAAATGTTTGGTAGAATTCACTAGTGGAACTGTCTGATCCTAGGCTTTTTTGCTGTTGTTGGGAGATTTTGATTACTGATTCAATCTCTGTATTTGTTATAGGTATGTTCAGATTTTTTACGTCTTCTTGAGTTAGTTTTGAGAGTTAGTGTGTTTCTAGAAATTGTCCATTTCATCTAGGTTATCTAATTTGTTGGCATACAGTTGTTCATAATATTCAATTATAATCTGTTTAGGTTTCTGTTAAGTTTAGTAGTAATGAACCCACTTTCTTTTTCTTTTCTTTTCTTTTCTTTTTTTTT